CAGATTTAAAAAATATTGTATGAAAAAAAATCAATTTTCCATTAAAAAAAAAGGAGCCAGAAGTCTCTGATCTGATCTGTAGCACTGGAAATCAGCTGTGACTATTCGGAAGATTTTTTTTTTTTTTTTTATGAACTGACAACTGTGCCTAACCTGACTGCAGGTTCGGGTTCCACACACCAACTGTAGTAGCCTTCTCCTCACTGGATAATGTCTAAAGGAATTTAAGAAAGTGAGCTCATACTTTTAAGAAAAATATAACAAACAAACAAAAAGATTTAGAAAAGTAGGCCTAGGCGATGCCCTCAAGCTGGAAGCATGGCTGCGTAATCCTACAATTAACACAGTTGGTGCTGGAAGAATGAGTACTTTCCCCCTGAAATGCAGAACACAGCAAGCCTGCTCATTCTCTCGGGTCTTACTCAGCATGGCCACAGCGATGGGAGTTCCAGCCCGCGTAGTCAGACAAGAAGATAAAATTACAGGCATAGAGATCGCAAAGGATGATGTAAAACCAACTCGATTTAGATGGCATTGATGTCTTCGTTTGAAATCCCAATGAAAATTTTTAAAGGACAGCAAACAATGCAAGTAGATAACACAAAGAACTAACAGATGGGTTTGGAAAGGTTACAGGACACGCTGAAACCCACAGTTCGATGTGTTGGCCTACCCTGGGAATGAGAAAGAAGACACTGAAATCTGAAGTGAAGTATCATTTCTAGTCACTCAAAATACGTATAACTCCAACAAAGTGTGTGTCAGGCTCATTCACTGAAAACTCTGTAACAGTAGTGAAATAAATCAAGGGAAGTGGAGGGACGTGCCCTATTCTTGAATTCAAACATAACATAAAAATCACTGTCCGTTCTTCCTAAATTGATGCGCAGGGTTATTTGACGCCTATCAAAATCCCAGCGAGAATTTTTTATAGACACTGACAGTCATATTCTAAAGCATATATGGGAGTAAGAGGAGGAAATAAAATAGGAGAAAAGAATAAAATGAAATGAATAAAATGGGAAGGAAACGTCTTTTCCATTTCTGGATTATAGCTGCAGTAATCAAGACTGCGTGTGGTGGAGACAGACAGACCAGTAAAGCCAGAAGTGGATTCACATGGGTCTGAAGCAAAGCAGAGGAGAAGGCCTTGCCGCAGGTATTAGATCACCTAAACATCTCTAGGCACAGATCATCAGCCTCAACCAAAGTCTTGCCTCTTACATAAAAAATAACTATGAAAGTCTTGTGCATAAAAAAAATAGTGATAAACATATAAGGCCATTAGAGAAAACCAGTAGAACATCATTAGCATCTAGGGCTCAGGAAAAGCTGTTACATTAATGATTGGAACATACGAGTAAATGTTTGGACATCACCAAAGCTGAAAACTTGCCCTACGGTAATTGTCTTAGGAGGATGAAAAGGGCAATTTTATACCATGAGAAACTGTGGGGTCTGCAAGCCACATATTCAACAGAACCATGTATGCATGTACTGGCTCTTGGAGTCTGAAGTTATCATGGTTTTATTATGCTGTGTTTTGTGTCCTACATTCCTGTTTCTAATTCTCCTTGGGCGCTCCAAAAGGACTGAGAATCTGTCAATATGAGCCTGCCCCTGTGGCTTTGGCGAGCTTTGTTTCCCATTTTTGGAATAGATTCCAGAGCCTCTGTCTCCTGCTTCAGTGTGACTCGCTTGGTCACAGAGAGGGTCTGTTTGCTCTTTTCTCATTGCTTTAGAATTTCCTCTATCTCTTGCCTGCGTGCATTCTTCTTGGCTTAGTCTCTCATTTTGGTGAACTTTTCCCTTCATTACTTTTCTTGCCAAAATTATGAAGCCAGAATATGAAAGTTAAGGACACTGGCACTGTTCTGGCGGCATGTAAATTGGTTAGAGCACACACACACACACACACACACACACACACACACACGCACACACACGCACACACACGCACAGTGGAAATTTTCCTGCATGATCTATTACAAAGACCCCTAGAGGCCCAGTAGCTCCATTCAGAGGTCTATTTATCCTCAAATGAAATTCTGTGTATGTGACTTGGAATGCAGGATGGCTAAGCAGCTTTACTCTTAACTACTGCCTTAGTTAGGTTTCTGTTGCCGTGAAAAGACACCACAGCCACAGCAACTCTTATAAAGCAAACATTTAATTGGGATGGCTCTCAGACAGTTTCAGAGGTTCAGTCTATTATCGTCATGGGGAGCATAGAGCATACAGGCAGGTGTGATGCTGGAAGAGCTGAGAGCTCTGTCTTGCTTGCAACAGGAAATTGGGTGGCTGTCATGCTAAGGGAGGCTTAAGCCAGAGGCATCAAAGCCCGCCCCCACAGTGACACACTTCCCCTGACAAGGCCACACCTCCTAACAGCGCCACTCCCATTGTAGGTCATTTTCTTTCGAACCACCACAACTACCAAGCACTGGGAACAACTCAAATGTCCATCAGTAGGTTAGGCATAAAAATAGAACTTATTTATGCCATTTAATATGATGCCAACAAACATCACTCACCTGCATCTAAATATAGTAACACTCTGAGTGCATAAAGTTAGTGAAATTAACCAAAGTGTCAATGGTAAAATATACAGACTGAAGCATGCAAGTGATCCCCAAAACAAAGAGGGAGGTGATGAGCTTCCTGGACAGAGAAGAGGAGGCCTGCCTGGGTTTGCCTTGAACACTTGTGTGTGTGTGTGTGTGTGTGTGTGTGTGTTCTCTTTCACAAAATGAATGGTGAAGAAAATGGGCAAGGTTGAAGGCGGCCCCATCTCCTAAAATGTGATGCTATCGTATGACACACCCCACAGACAGCAGTGTCTGAGTCCAGCATCACCTAGGGAGAATTGGCGAAGATGCAGGTGAGCTTGAATGCTTATGCCCTTTGTTGGTAGAGGTTTCATTTGGATAATATGAAAACTATTAGCCTTTTCATAATAATGTCATGTATGCTTGTACCAATGGGAAAAACAGATATATAGCTATACTTTATGAATCTCCTGATGAGGCCTGGGGTAGGGGCTTTCAGTTCCCCAGAATTTAGTCTTGTCTCTTTGGAAGGTAATTAGTTCTGGAAGGAGGGTGCAGAATCACAAAGCCTAGGTAGGGATGTTGAGGCTCAGAGATCCCATCCAATCCCTTTTGCTCACATTGGCTGGTGAGAGCCAGTCACAAAATCCCCAGTGCCCAGTCTTGAGGGTGTCCTGGGATGCATCCGAAGCCGTTCTCCTGTCGATTGATGTGGAGATGCTGGGGATACAAGCTTGCACGCGAGGAAAGCAAAGGCTTGTAAAAAAAGAAGCACTGTGGATAAACACTTAGAAGCCTAGGTAAGCAGTGTGGGGGAGAATTACAGGGACTCAGGGAAAGAGCTTGGTGTGGGTGTTGTCCAGGGACACAGCTCAGATGGAAAGGCAACTTGGCATCTGGGGACCAGAGCTGCATACCTGCAGGGGGCATGCCTTGTAGGAAGAGCCAGCCCCTGATGAATCCCTGCACATTCCTTAGCTCTGCGGATGTGGTGGATGCGTCCTGCCCACATCCAGTGATTAGGAATGACAGGCATGATACATGGGTGCCCATGGTGCCATCCTTCGCAGTCCATCATTCGATGAAAACTCATTTGTTACAGTTACAGCGGGCCAATATTTGTCTGAAAATAACATGGGCACTTTGAGTCACCTGGTGTGAAGCGTTTGTCAGGATGTATTGGAAGTGGGCACCTGCTAGTCTGCGGGAAAGAATTTGTTTCATGTTACATCAGCTTTGAATAAAATCCCACAGGTTTAAGCGACTGTTTTCTGTTTAGGCATTTTATATCCGGGTTTGCTTTTCTTTTCTTTTTAAAATCCCATTTCTGTTCAGGCACTGGCAAATCTGTTCTTTTTCTTGTAGCAGAGAACCTCATACCTTACTTCCTGCTTTGCCACTGTTTTTCAAAGTTCTATGTATGAATGCATTTGTTTCCTCCCATGGCCCTTAATTTTCTGAGCTATTTTAATTTATCCAGAGTCCCCTGACAGTGACTGTTCATGTAGTATGACAACAAGCTAAAACTCCAGGGAAACAAAACAACTATTAGGTAGAGGTGGGGATGGGAAACCCCACCAAGCCTTGAAGATTAAGATGGGCTGCATGCTGATGGATGGACAGGATGCCAGGGACCATGGAGTGATGGAGTAAGAGGAGATTTCTGGCCATGAGAGAAGAAGGGGGCAAAGCTCATCTCTACAGAGCAGTAAATGCCGGAGTATCTTTGAGATTGCAGTTATTCTTGTAGCTCACCTGCAGTTCATGCAACTTAAAGACTGCTTAAAAAATAACGTTCCTCTCTTTCTGCGTGTGTGTGTGTGTGTGTGTGTGTGTGTGTGTGTGTGTGAGAGAGAGAGAGAGAGAGAGAGAGAGAGAGAGAGAGAGAGAAGACATACACATGTGCCACCAGAGGACAACCTTGGGAATCTGTCCTCCCCTTCCACCTTGCTCGAGACAGTGCCTCTAGTGGAGGGAGGGGAAACTGTGGCTGGAATGTATTGTATGAGAGAAGAATTTTCTCAAGATAGATTTTCAGAATCTATGTTCTTTGTCGCTGTACACTCCAAACTGGCTTGCCTGTGAGCTTCAGGGACTCTCCTGCCTCTGCCTCCCATTCTGCTATAGGAACACTAGGGTTATAGGCTTGTACTGCCTTGCCTAGCTTCCCCTAGGCTCTAGGGATTCAAACTCAGATACCAGTGTGCAGGTGGCACCCTCTTACCCGCTGAGCCAGCTCTCCAGCTCCGCTTTCTTTTTTTTTAATGATTGCTTTGAAAAAAAGAAGTCGAAGTAATTCGTGGCCTTGGTCAATGGAAACTGTTTTAGCTGTCCTGGTCTGTTTCCAATGGAGCCATTTCACGTGTCCTTGCTGTGTCACAACAGACCTCAGAGCATACTTCGGAGGCCAGATGCCGTGCTAATGCGAGATTTGTCTGTGTTCCTGTTTAGATAAAGTTCGACAGCGTGGAGGTGTGCGTCTGCTGCGAGCTGCAGCACCACTCATCCGGATGCAGCAACCTCGGGGAGACACTGAAGCTGAACCCGCTGCAGGAGAACTGCAACGCTGTGCGGCTGACCTTGAAGGTGAGGCTGGGGGGCGCCTAATGCGTGCCCTTCCCTCTCCTGGAAACGGGAGGAAGATTTATTAGCATAGCGAATCCTTTCAGCTCCTGACTCATCCAGGTGGCTGGATGCTGAGGATCATCCTTCCGGGAAACGTATTTCAAAGCGTTGTAGATTGTCCTTTGGAAGCTCTGATTTCTGGGGCCCCCGTTTCCATCTTTGCCAGGTCATTTTCCTGCCTCTGACAAATCAAAGCAGGGTAAGCATGGCTGAAAGACCTCTTCACAAATGAGCTTACCATGATTACAGTCTCTGCTGTGACTCCATCAAGGTCTACATGGTGTTACGTTTGACTTCTAAAATGATACGTAGGGCTGGTGAGATGGCTCAGTGGGTACAGACCCTTGACATCAAGTTAGTGACCTGAGTTAGAACCCCAGAGCCCACATGGAAAGAGGAGAGAACTGACCCCAGAACAATGTCTTCTTTCCTCCTCACACACAGTGGCATGCTCATGCAACCAATATATAAATGACAAATAAATAAACAAACAAGCAAATGTAACTAAATGATAAAGGAAGAAATCTTATAGTTGCCTATGGTTCTTACATAAAGAATTTGATCCTTTTTAAAGGGAGTATATTGTCCAGGCACGATGATGATGCTTTAATCCCAGCACTCCAGAGGCAGGTGGATCTCTGTCAGTTCAAGGCCAGCCTGATCTGCATGAAGAGTTCCAGGCCAGCCAGGACCAGACAGTGAGATCCTGTCTCAAAGAAAAAGTGGGGAGGGCACATGGAAATGCTGTCTATATTATCCCCCCCCCACCCGCCTGTCTTCTTTCAAGGGCTATTTTCCTGAAAACCCAAAGTGGCTGCTTAAAAATACAGTCAACCCAGTCCTTTCCTTGGCCTGACCGGAAGTGGCTAAAATGTTTTGAAAGCTGTGCTGCCATCAAAGGACCTCTTTGTTGGTGGTGAGACTGTTTACAGTGGAGACCTCTGGCCTATGGCAGGAAACCACTTCTGTGGACCACAGGCTCCAAAGATAGATGCCTCCAACCTGGGGAGAAAAAGGACGGTGGTAACATGGGATGTACCTATGCTTATTTTGGAGGGAGTATCCCCAACACCTGCTCTATCCACATGGGGAAATGGGCCAAGTTCTGGCTCCTAGTACCCACCGAAGTGACAGCCCATGAGAACGGGGGAAGCCAGAGCTGCAGGTTCACAGGGATGCTTCTCTGGTACCAACTATTTCTTGTGGCTCTCCATTACATATCTTCATAGTCCACGCATCTCATTGCTGGGGTCTGCTCAGGAGCAGTGTCCAGTGCCTGCGTGGCCATTCATAGCCCACTGCAATGGGGAGTGAATGAACTTTGCTTACTCTAAGATCTCTTTCTGATATCGTCTAAGTTAGTGCTTGAGCCCAGGTATGCTTTCTCCCTGCATGTAAAGAACTTAATCAGACTCTAGGTAATCACAAAGACAGTATGACCACCACCTCCTGGAAAAGCCAGCAAGCCTCCAGGGCATCTCGGGCTCTGGGGACCACTTGTGTGTATCACTTTATGGCACTATAAAAAATATCCAAGTAATCTACTTGGAAGAAAGTCAGGACCACGAGGGGTGCACCCACCCACTGTGACAGTGGAACTGATCTATTGGGAGCTCACCAAGGCCAGCGGGTCTGAGACTGAATAAGCATGGGATGAAACCGGACTTTCTGAACATGGCGGACAATGAAGGCTGATGAGAAGCCAAGGACAATGTCACTAGGTTTCAAACCTAATACATGAACTGGCTTTGTGGGAGCCTAGTCTGTTTGGATGCTCACCTTCCTGGTCCTAGATAGAAGTGGAAGGACCTTGGACTTCCTGCAGGGCAGGGAATCTGGACTGCTCTTCATTCTCGAGAGGGAGGAGGAATGGAGTGGGAGGGAGGGGGAGAGGGGTAGGGGAGTAGGGGGAAGGGGCGATGTGTGCAAGGAGGGGAAGGGAAATGGGAAACGGGGAGGAGGCTGAAAAAAATAATAAAATTTATTCTAAAAAAAATCTACTTGGAAGAGGAAAGGTTTAGTTTGTTGTATAGTTTTAGAGTTTTAAGTGTGTGATCAAATAATGCCTTCTGCTCTGGGCTATGGTGAGCCTGCATAGCATGGCTGGAGCATGCCCTGCCAAAGAGCCACTTACCTCACCGCAGGCAAAGGAGTGGAAGCGAAAGAGGAAAGATCAGGCTCCCACAATCCCCCAGGAGGGTTTCTATCAGTGACCCGAGGACTCCTGAAGTCTTGCCTCCTAAACTCCAAGCTTTTAATATTTACTTATTTTTATTTTATATGTACAAGTATAAAATTGCCTGTATGTACCTGGTGACCACAGAAGCCAGAGCAGGGTGGAACAGGAATTATAAATGGTTATGAACTGCCGTGTGGGTGCTGGGAATTGAACTCTGTTCCTCTATAAGAGCAGCAAGTGCTCTTAACTGCTAAGCCATCTCTCCAGCCCCAAGGATCCAGCTTCTAACAGTGAACCATCGGCATACATTTAGCCAAACGGTCCTGCTATTTTATAAGCTAATGGGTTATGGAGTCTTTGGTCTGCTGCCCCAAGGCCCTGGACTTCCTCTTGGAATCTTTACTCAGTGAGACGCAAGGTCTTACATAAAGCCCTCCAAGGAGATGTGAATTGAAGTTTGGGAATGATGTTTTCTCTAAGGTGCAGGCTCAAGCCTGGGATGGCCTGGACTGTGAAGTCTCATCCTTGTTCACTGTCCTTTGATGAGAAGAGGCAATGGGAAATTTGTTTATGGAGTAGCCAAATGGAATGAAGTCGAGGAACTCAAGCCAAGGCTGGCTAGCACAGCTGACTGTTTGAACCTTGTCAATGGCTCTTCCTCGTGTAGATGCAGATACCCCAGATACCGATAAGAGTTGAAGACAAAGCCGGGCGATGGTGGCGCACGCCTTTAATCCCAGCACTCGGGAGGCAGAGGTAGGCGGATCTCTGTGAGTTCGAGACCAGCCTGGTCTACAGAGCTAGTTCCAGGACAGGCTCCAAAGCCACAGAGAAACCCTGTCTCGAAAAACAAAAAAACAAAAACAAAAACAAAACAAAAACAAAAAGAGTTGAAGACAAAAGAAAGACTCTCCCAAACTTCTTATTGATCCTTTTTGCAAAATACACTCAAGGCAGAAGCTATCAAAGCCGATGGCAGAAGGCTCAAGGGAGACAGGGTTGATGACCACGGTGGGAGGGTGATGATCTAGTCATAGCAGTGATGGAAATTAGGAGAAGGGGACCTTGCCCCACCCCTAATGGAGGTCTCTATAGGGAATAGTGGCGCTGGGATGAGAACTTGCTTTTGCCTGAGAGCAGCGAGATGGAGACTATTGGACGCGAGTGTCTGTCTGTGGCTTATTGCTGTCTTCCAGTTTTGTTATTTTTCTGAACTTGTTCCTATCATCTTAGGTTCTTAGCATTTCCATATACATTTTAGAAAAGCTTGTCAGTTTCTATGGCGGCCCTGCTGGGATTCTGATTGAGATCATGTGGAACCCACACATTACTTTGAACAGGTCTACTTAGGTCTCCTTTTATTCCAACAGTGTTTATTATCTTCATCAGCATGTAATTTTCAGTTTATAGATCTTCACACATTCTGAGTTATTTATCCCTTTTCCCCATTTATTTTCATAATACTTTAGAACCATCTCTTATTGTTGTATCTGAATTTGATGCTTGCTACTGATCTTGTATCCCGTGGTCTTGCTAAAGTCAGTTTCCAGCAGTAGGGATTCTTGGGTAGCTGATCCTTTGTAATACAGAGGTTGTTTTACATCTCCTATTCTGTATTAGCCAGGGGTCTCTAGAGAACAGACCCAGCAGGACACTTATAGACATAAATACAGTCAAAGGATCTTTCTATGGGCACTGGGAAGTCTCACAATGAAGCTCAGTCCAAGCCAAAAGCTTCCGGATCAAGGAAACAGATTATAACCTTCAGTGGCATAGGTCCTGGCGTTCAGAGTGCTTGGAGTACTCTGATGTCGCAGGCAGGACATCAGGACTGAGAACAGAGACCTCACCTTCATGTTTTGTTGTGTCTGAGGCTTAGGCTGATCGGATGGTGGCCTAACCACACTGAAACTAGACTTCCCCACTTGCTCCGCTGACTTGTGGGCAGCTCTCCTTCATAGACACGCCTGGGATCAGTGCTTTACTGGTTCTCTGGGCATCCTTTCTCCAGTTCATCAACTCCTGAAATGACCCCTTCACACGCCAGTCTGGATGGCTCACTCACCTTCCTGGCTTTTTTTTTTTTTTTTTTTTTTTGCTATAACTGGGAACTTCAGGGCACTGCCAAATGGAGGTGGGAAGGGGGAGCACACATTGTTTTCCCTGCTCCTGACATTAAAGCTTATAAATACTGTTTGTTCCAAATTGCCCAGTGATTCCCATCACTGGGTAGTAAATTCCACTCCCGTCCATGAGAGGATGTTGTTGTATTTTGTCGTCCTCTTAACAGCATCTTGTAGGTCATCTACTTATAGAAATGAGGCTCTCAACAAACCAAATACCAGGTATTGTATTCCAGCAGGCAGTAGACATCGCTAAAGCTCTGGAGTCCAACCCCATCCTATGGTTTGTTTGTTTTTCAGCTTCTATAGTTTGAGCCATGGTGCTGAATTCTATGTAACCATCAGTGGTCTCTGGATTCTCTCTGTGTGAGCATCCCTGAGTGGTCCCTAGGTCCTTGGCTGTTGTGTTACAAGCGGCAGGGCTGCGTCCCTGGCACGCGGCCGCCCGCATGGCTAGCTTTACCCGAAATAATTACACGGAAACTGTATTCTTTTAAACACTGCCTGACCCATTAGTTTCAGTTTCTTATTGGCTAGCTTTTACATATTGATCTAACCCATTTCTATTAATCTGTGTAGCCCACGAGCTGGCTTACCAGGAATGATCTTAACCTGCGTCTGTCTGGAGTGGGAGAATCATGGCGACTCCCCGACTCAGC